TCCATTGCAGTCTGGCTTTAGGCCGGGATATGGAACTGAAACAGCCTTGGTCTCCTTAGTGGATGATCTGTAGGAAACTGGACAGGAGGAGTGTATCCCTGTTGGTTCTCTTATACCTCTCAGTGGCCTTCGATACCATAGGCCATAATATCCCTCTGCGACGCCTTGCAGGAATGGGGCTTGGAGGTACTGTTTTGCAGTGGCTCCAGTACTTCCTGGAGGATTGCTCCCAAAAGGTTTTGCTGGGGGACACCTGCTTGAACCCACAACCAATGTCCTGTGGGGTCCTACATGGTTCAGTATTGTCTCCCATATTGTTTAACGTCTACATGAAGCCATTGCGAGAGATCATCCGGAGTTTTGGAGTTTGAAGTCATCTGCACGCAGATGATGTCCAGCTCTTTCACTCCTTTCCACCTATAGCTAAGGAGGCTGTCCCAGTACTGAACTAGTGCTTGGCGGCTGTGACGATTTGGATGAGGGTGAACAAAGTGAAATTGAACCCAGACAAGACAGAGGTACTCCTGGTCAGTTGCAAGGCCAAACAGGGCATAGAGTTACAGCCTGTGCTGGGTGGGGTTACACTCCCCTTGAAGACACTGGTTTGCAGCTTGGGAATGATCTTGGACTGTCGCTGAGCCTGGAACTCCAGGTCTTGGTGGTGGCCAGGGGAGCTTTTGCACAATTAAAACTTGTGCACCAGTTGCGGCAATACCTTGGGAAATCTGACTTGGCCACAGCTTTCCATGCTCTTGTTACATCCCGAATTGACTACTTCAACACACTCTACATGGGGTTGCCTTTGAAGACTGTTCAGAATCTTCAAGTAATCCAACTGGCAGCAGCCAGGTTCCTTACTAGAGCAGCATGCAGGGTGCACCCAAGCCCCCTGCTGCGCCAGCTCCACTGACTACCAGTCTGCTACTGAGCACAATTCAAAGTGCTGGCTTTAGCCTATAAAGCCCTAAACGGTTCCAGTCCAGCTTACCTGTCTGAATGCATTTCCCTCTATTAACCAGTTTGAGCATTAAAATCTGTCAGGGAGGTCCTGCTCTCCAAAACATCAGGCGTCCTGACAAATTTGTGAACATCCTGCAGCTCCAACATGATAACATGATGGCAACAGTCTTGGGCAGCAATGGCTCCCAAAGTGACCCATTTAAGGTAGATTCAGGTGTGTTATTGCCCTAACCTTATTTTCCATCTTCATCGCTATGATACTTCATCTTGTTGATGGGAAGCTTCCCACTGTAGTGGAAATCATACATGGCATTCATTGACCTTGCAAAGGCATTCGACACAGTGAATCGCAGCGCTCTCTGGACCATCCTCCAAAAAATCGGGTGCCCTAACAAATTTGTGAACATCCTGCGGCTCCTCCATGATGACATGATGGCAACAGTTTTGGACAGCAATGGCTCCCAAAGTGACCCATTTAAGGTGGAATCAGGCATCAAACAGGGATGTGTTATTGCCCCAACTTTATTCTCCATCTTCATCGCTATGATACTTCACCTTGTTGATGGGAAGCTTCCCACCGGAGTGGAAATCATCTATCGGATAGATGGCAAGCCATTTAACCTCAGCAGAACAAAAGCCAAAACCAAGGTCACAACAACATCTGTTATAGAACTCCAATAAGCTGATGACAATGTTGTCTGTGTGCACTCAGAAGAAGACCTACAAGCCAGTCTAAACACCTCTGCAGAAGCATACGAGAAGCTCAACCTCTCATTGAACATCCAGAAAACCAAAGTACTCCTCCAGCAGATTCCTCTGCAATGCCAGAAATACAGCTTAATGGTGTAACATTAGAAAATGTTGATCATTTCTGCTACCTTGGCAGCCACCTCTCCACAAAAATCAACATTGACACCGAAATACAACACCACCTGAGCTCTGTGAGTGTTTGGGAACCGGGACATCCCCAAGGAGACCAAGGTGCTTGCTTATAAAGCTACTGTCCTCCCAACCCTGCTACATGCCTGCAAAACATGGACTGTCTACAGACATCACACCCAACTCCTGAAACGATTCCATCAGTGCTGCCTCTGAAAAATCCTGCAAATCTCTTGGGAAGACAGACAGACAAATGTCAGCATGCTGGAAGGAGCAAAGACCACCAGCAATGAAACAATGCTCCTACTCCATCAACTCCATTAGACTGGCCAAGTTGTCTGAATGCCCAAAGATCACCTTTTCCTAAAGCAGTTACTATACTCCCAACTCAAGAACAGAAAACATAATATTGGTGGACAGGAAAAGAGATTTAAAGATGGGCTTAAAGCCAGCCTTTAAAACTGTGGCATAGACACAAAGAACTGGGAAGCCTTGGCCCTTGAGCACTCTAACTGGAAATCAGCTGTGACCAGCAGTGCTGCAGAATTCAAAGAGGCATGATGGAGGGTGAAAGGGAGAAACATGCCAAGAGGAAGGCACGTTAAGCCAACCTGACCAGGACTGCCTTCCACCTGGAACTGATGTCCTCACTGAGGAAGAACATGTGGATCAAGAATAGGTCTCTACAGCCATATATGTATCCACCGCCAAAACACTACACTTGGAGGGCCATCTTCCTTGAGCTACGAGGGATCACCTAAGTAAAGTAAGTAAGTAAGTAAGCTCTTGATCCCGCCGCCTTTGCAGGTGTGATTGGCAGGGACAGGGCCTTCTCGGTGGTGGGTCCTCAGCTGTGGAACTCCCTCCCCAGTGAGATCAGATCAACCCCCTTCCTCCTGGTGTTCAGGAAGAAACTTAAAACTTGGTTATGCACACAGGCGTTTGGCGAGTGATAGTATTGCAGTATAACTCCTAAATGAAACAGCTCAATGACAACAATAAGAATGGTGCAATGATAATGCTCTATGTTCTATGTGTTTTCATGTATAGTGTTTTAATGGTTTAATTCATATTTATATGTTATTAATTTTAGTTAATGTTATGTATTGCTTTTATATGTATGTATATTGGCGGCTTTGAATTTTCCCATGTTGTACACTGCTCTGAGTCCCCCTCGGGGGAGAGAGAGGGGTACAGAAATGGAGTAAATAAATAAATCACTAGCATTATCAAAAGTGAGTGGGATAATAAGGGATTCAACCCAACAGACAATAGGCTTGAGGTTTGTAGAATAGTTTCAGCACTTGTTTGTTTCATCATTGTATGTTGACTCTCCTTAATAGAGAGAAAGTAGCATACAAATACTATCAATAATAATAATAATAATAATAATAATAATAATAATGTTGGTAGGTGCTATCTTACTGTGTCTGTTGAGATTGCACAGACCCTATTTCTTCAATTTAGGTTTTATTGGTTTGAATTCTACATCGCTTTAATAATCCTATATTTAATTCAATTTTAATATGCATATGCTTTAGGTTTTAATTGGCATGTTATTTCACATTGAGTCTCCTTTGGGAGAGAAAAAAACAGGGTAGAAATACATATAATAGTAATCTGTAAAAGGGGGTACATCTTAGAATCACAGATGCACACACACACACACAGAGGTGGGTCAAAAAGTGATGCCTTCATCGCTCTAACTTTCATTTCTTTCACAGCTACTGGGCTATCTATGCATGATATGTTAGAGGTATCCTTACTCTACTGATATAGACTTTTCTTTTTCTGATTGACTTATTAGAACCATGAATCTGAAGCTTAAAGAAAGAGTTCGTCATTGAATTTCTGGCAAAAAAAAGCTTGCGCACCTAAGAAAATCCATCATCACTTGAAGAATGTTTATGATTTGGACCCTTCTGACTTTTACCTGTTTGAACCTCTGAAAGACAACCTACGTAGTTCCAGATTCAATTACTTGAATGGAGTTCAAACAGCTTTAAAATTATGGGCCACGAAGCAAAACCCTGCAAAATGGTTTTGATGCCTAGGTTAAATGATGGTGTGAGAGTGTGCAAATTGATGGTGACTATGTTGAATGGTAGTTTTGTGTAGAGGACAGTTCAGGCTTTTGTGTGTGTGTGTGTGTGTCAGGAGCGATTTGAGAAACAGCAAGTCACTTCTGGTTTGAGAGAATTGGCCGTCTGCAAGGACGTTGCCCAGGGGATGCCTGGAGGTTTTGATGTTTTACCATCCTTGTGGGAGGCTTCTCTCATGTCCCTGTATGGGAAGCTGCAGCTGACAGAGGGAGCTCATCCGCGCTCTTCTCAGATTCGAACCTGTGACCTGTCGGTCTTCAGACAAGGGTTTAACCCATTGTGCAGCAACTTCTGCTCTTATAGGTTCATTCATAACACTTTTTATGACACAGGAGACAAAACGTTTTGACTCACCCTCATATAATTTTATTTCTTACCCGCTTCTCCTCATAGCTCAAGGCAGGTTACAACATATATGTATATGTTGTTATATATTTTTCTGTGTGTGTCACTAAAATAAGTGTGTGTCTTACAATCGATGCTGCTTTAGAATCAAAGAAGTACTGAATTACAAAGGCTGCTTTCTTTGTATGGCTTTTGGTTTTCTTTTTTCCGCTTCTTAATGAAAATTACTATGAAAAAATCCACTGGCCAAACAGCCCCTTGACCTTGAGAATCTCGACTTGGCCTTTGTCTTGCTTTCCCTGACTTTGCAACTCAATGGGAAGTCTCTCTAGCAGGAGCCCTGGCTCCGAGAAGCTTGGGTTTCATTCAGTCTCCTTTCTATGAATGCTAAGCGTGGAGTCCCTTACTACGGAGCATCTCAACCCTGTCTAGGGATGCAGGACCAAGTGCAAGCAGCTGGGATGCTATCCCGGGTTGTTGAGGCCTTCTTTCCGCCCCATTGAATCCTTTCTCAGCATCCCCTCCCTCTTGTACCCCTCTCCAACCTTTGCCTGCCCCCAGGGCATCTTCATTGCCTGGCACACGCTGCCCTTTGTGATGCTAAGGGAGGCCTTTTGTGCATGGTTTGGGGAGGCAGACGGCGAGAGAAAGGAGGGGGGGGGATCTCCTGGAATCGACCAGCCCCTTGTACCACGTCACTGTGGAGCTGAGACAAAACCGAGTCTGCCTTGGCACAGAGAGGCAGAGAGAGAGAGGCAGAGCAAGCATCCAGCATCATCTTCTCTTGCCTCTCGGCTCCCATCTCCATCACTCCAGGGCTTGCCCCCCATCCTGGCCGGTGTGTTCCCCTTCCAGACGAAGCCTGTCCCTTATTGAACCCCAAAGAGAAGGGGGGTCCTGAAGGGACTGCGGCTGCCTGGTGTTGGGGAGCGCATTTCAGCACCGCGGAGAGCTCCGGAGGCAGCCGCATCCAGCAGCATCTCCACGCATGGCGAGTGTCCAAGGGGGCGAGAAGCAGCTCTTTGAGAAGTTCTGGCAAGGGACCTTCAAAGCCGTGGCCACCCCGAGGCCTGGCAGCGTCATCGTGGCCAGCATCACCGCCCGCAAGCCCCTGGCCAGGTAAGCTTGGAGTATTGTGTATCTGGTGTTTGGAGGGATGGAGCCAGCGAAGGCTCTTGGGTCACCAACTCCACTCTGGGTTCTAGTCCAAACTTGAAAAGGAAACCTTCCAAACTGAGCATCATTGAATCCTAGAGTCGGAAGAGAGCCAAAGACTACCCAGTTCAATCCCATTCTGCCAGGTAGGAAAATATGAACCAAACCCTTCCAACAGATGGCCATCCAGTTTCTTCGTAAGGAGACTCCAAGGCAGCATATTCTACTGTTGAACAGCTCTTGCTCCTAGGAAGTTATTGTTGTTGTTGTTGTTGTTGTTGTTATTGTTATTATGATAGAACCCTAGAGTTGTGAGAGACTCCAAAGGCCATCCAGTCCAACCCCCTTTTGCCAGGCAAGAAAATACAATCAAAGGACTCCTGACAGATGGCCATCCAGCCTATGCTTCAGGGATTTCCATTGTACATATTCCACTGTCATGAAGTTGTTATTATTTCTGTTATTACTATCATAGGATCCTAGAATCCTAGAGTTGGATGAGACCCCAAGGGCCATCCAGTGTAACCCCATTCTACCTTCCAGGGGGACACAATCTAAGCCTTCCTGACAGATAGCCATTCAGCCTTGTTTAAGGACTCCAAGGCAGCATATTCTACTATCGAACAGCTCAAGGAATGATTTCTAATGTTTGGGTGGAATCTCTTTCCCTGCCATTTGAGGAGGTAGGCAATCAGGAACCTTGAAGAGGGCTTTCAAGTTCAGACTAGATGCCCAGAGTGGATACGACATGGGATGGGAGGGAAGGAATCCCATTGGACATGGTCAGGAGTTAACAGAGTCTCTGGGGAAACTCGGATTGTGGGCCGATGGATGGTTCCCAAAAGAGTACACAGTCTTCGAAACTTCTAAACCTGCTGGGCATTTGGGAGACAACCCTAAAGACTAGAGTTTAAGGGAATGGCTTAAAAATCAAAATATGCACTGTTGTTACTATGTTGGAAAGGGGCAAAGGTTGGCACTTAGGTCTTGGAGGCCTGGGTTTTTGGCTATTATGTGACGTGTATTTTCTTGCAATCCGTGGTGCCCGCTGAGGCCTGAGGTTTGGAAAACTGGCTCAAAATTTGGAGACCAAGGAGAGTCTGGCCTCGTGTTACTTTGGGAAATGCTTAATGTGTGTTTTAAAAGTGTGAAAGCATTATTGGCGTGACCTTTACAAGGGGCAAGTCCCAGACTTGGCAGAGATTGGGCGCCATATGGTGCATCTATCCTGGCAACACTGAGCCAGAAAGTTGGATAGAAATGGGGTATCTTTTGGAAAGGAATGGTCTTTCCCCCTCTTTCCTTCCAATCATCGAAGCTTGTCTTGCTCTGGAGTGCCAAGGTGCCAAGGGCAAACAAGCCACATGACTTGTCCTATAGAACAGTGAGAATAAGTGTGCCAATTTGCACAATGGGCAGCTCACTTCTTTTATTTCTTCCCCTCTTGGGATAAATGCCATTCCAAGTCAGATGTCTTGCTCTCGGTTGTGTCCCTTGGGGACAATTGTCATGCCGGTGGCTCATTATAATCCAAGTTGCCACCTGTGGGCATGAAGTAGAAGAGGAGCACATGGCACCTGGGTTCGGCGGGCAGCTTCCAAGTCAAAGGTGTGGGTTTCATGCCACAGAAGCGCTCTCATGGACTCCACGGGGCATCCACACTGTCAAATTGAATACACTTTGACACCACTTTGAACTGCCATGGTATGAAATCCTGAGAGTTGCCATTTGGGGAGGCACCAGCACTCTTTGGCAGAATGACCTTATGAAACTACAACTCCCAGGACTCCATGTTCCATAGCGAGGAAGCAATATCAACTGTCTCACGCATTTATGGGTATCATGGACTTGGCCCCAGGTCTGGGTTCGAGAACTTGTGGTTGTACCTGAGAATACAAACATTAATCATCTGTTTCCATTCCAATGAGACCACCGCACAATGCCTATAACAGTGCAAGAAAGTAATATCAACTTTCTTGTACTGTTAGTGGCATTGTGGAACATTAATAATAAGGCATTTATTATTATTATAATTATTATTAAAATATTATTAATAATAATATCAACTTTCTTGCACTGTTATAGGAGCTGTGGGACATTAATAATAAGGCATTAATCATAATGATGAATATTATTATTAATAAATTATTATTATTATTATTATTAATAATAATAATGGATATTGTTAATAATAAATGAATATCATTATTATTAATGAATATTGTTAATAATAATATCAATAATTTTAAGAGTGGATGTTCGCATCTTTCCCTTTCCTTGCATGATGTGTCTATTATTAGTGTTAGTAGTAGTAGTTTAGCCATCTTTAGGCAGGGATCTAAAGATGGCTAAACTATCATGTCGCAAGTTGTTTCAAGCCTCTTTGGATGCATCTAGACTGAAGACACTTTGACACCACTTGCATTGTGATGGCTTCTGGGGAGTTGTAGTTTGACAGGGTCTTCAGCCTTCTGCACCCCCAAAGTGTTGGTGCCTTGCTAAACCACATCTCCCAGGATCCCATAGCATACAGCCGGAGCAGTTCAAGTGGTGTCAAAGTGCATTCATTCAGTAGTGTAGATGAACCCCTAAAGTTCTTTTTGCTCATTCAAATCACAGGGAGGAAGAGAACACCCCAGAGAGGAATGGTTGGAAAAACCTGGGGGAAACATTGTGCAATCATCTTTGGCATTTCACTGGGGAGCACGGTAGGGGAAAAAATACGGTACTTGATTCCAATGGGGAATGTCAATGTACGGCTCCTGATGTCTGTTTGAAAGCATTAGAGCCAATCAAGCCTTCAAGGCGGCTCGCATCGCAATACTTAGCCATCATTATGTGTATTCACCAAAAACTGGAATAAAGTGCTCTGAAGTTCTGGATTCTAGCATTCTCAGAGGGAATCTCCACTATCGAATGAATGCAGACGGACCCTGCTTGAACTACTTGAACTGCCTCGATGCTATAGAATCAGGGGAGTTGTAGCTTAACAAGGTCATGAGCCTTCTCTGCCAGGGCTGAACCAAACCACAACTCCCAGAATCCCAGCACACTGAGCCATGGCAGTTCAAGTAGGGTTAAGCGGTCTTCATCCTACAGTGTAGATGCACTTATTCATTTGTACATGTGTCATGCAACACTGGGCTTATAGAGCACAATCACCGCCGAATACGCACATAAAGAGTTATGCTATGCATCCCACAGGTAGGATGTCAGTCAACAGTTCCGCCTTCCATGCAGAACATAGAAGTCGAGTGGGTATAGCTTGGCACTCTTTGTTTCCTAAAGCCTCACTGAGTTGCGTAGAGTTCTCGCAGGGGTGTCCTTGCAAATAGTGAAAGACCTCTCTCTGTCACCGCTTGTGTATTTCCTCACCGACTCACTTGGCATTTTCAAGTGCTTTGTTTGTGATTTGCAGTCGGGAGATAAACTCCGGGCTTAATTTACAAGTCTGGTTCCTGCGGCACGCATCTCTAAGCCAGGAGGGAAAATAGATTGATTATAACGAATACGGATTCTTCTTCAAGTCTAGTTGAGAACCTATGAGACTTGAGTGGATGATGGAGGAGGAACATCACATGGTTCCAGTGCCGGCGCATGCTTGATAGTGGCATTAATCCAGATTGATACCACTCGAAATGCTATGGAATCCTGAGAGTTGGTAGTTTTACAAGGTCATTCATCTTTTCTGCCAAAGAGTACTGCCACCTCAGTAAACTACAACTGCCAGATTTGTGAATGTTATGAATGACAATTTCCTCCCAAAATAGGCTCAGCTCTCTGGATAATGCCTTTAAAGTTTGGAACAAAACTCAGGGCAGATTGGCTTGCCATCTTTTCTCTTCCATCCCGACTCCAGAATGAGAGGCAGGGCAAAGGAAAGGGAGCACAGCCTTGCCTTGGCACTGCTTTGCATGGCTGCCACTAATTTCATCCTCTGGTGCCTGAGGAATCCTGTTTTCCAGCCAGTGGAAAACGCTTGTGTAGATGGGGTTTTATATTCCCCTGGAAATTGAATGCCACACAGCTAATTCCAGAGCCTTTTCTTTTTATTGTCAAGCCCTCCTTCTCTTAACTGCTGTTTACACGCACACACAGTCAGTCTCGGTTTTCTTCATTTTCCCTTTGGTTCAGTGAGAGAGCACAGGAAACAGGTGAAGCCAAGTTGGCATAAACTCATAGGAAACATATCTGGCGGTAAAGGCTGCCCCACTTGCAGTGTGCCCATGAGACCCTGGCAGGCATTTCACTCAGGATTGAAACCTTGGTCCATAGCCTTTGGTACCAAAAGGGACTGAGCAGTTTCACATTGTCCATATTTGCCTATGATCATCCTTTGTATAATGGTAGATTGGGTGCCATGGACCAATGTGCCATGGGCACCAATGTGCATTGGGATGTTCCTCGACGCACATTTGGATATTAGCTAAGAGTTGCCAGAGCACAACAGGAGTGTTGGCTGTCTATCAGAATGCCCAATGTCTATCCGAAGTGCCCAATGTCTATCAGAATGCCCAATGTCTTTCAGAAGTGCCCAATGTTTATCGGAAGTGCCCAATGTCTATCGAAAGTGCCCAACGTCTATCGGAAGTGCCCAATGTTTATCGGAAGTGCCCAATGTCTATCCAAAGTGCCCAATGTCTATCAAAATGCCCAATGTCTTTCGGAAGTGCCTAACGTCTATCGGAAGTGCCCAATGTCTATCGGAAGTGCCCAATGTCTATCAGAATGCCCAATGTCTTTCGGAAGTGTCCAATGTCTATCGGAAGTGCCCAATGTCTATCCAAAATGCCCAATGTCTATCAGAATGCCCAATGTCTTTCAGAAGCGCCCAATGTCTATTGGAAGTGCCCAATGTCTATCGGAAGTGTTCTTGTTCATAACTCTTGTTCATAACTTGGGGATTGCCTGTACATCTAACTTCTGTCTCCAGGTACACCACTAGAGTTGTCTTCAATTCCAAC